GATAAGTAAGTAAATGGTAAGTTGATTACTGTGGTATCTTAGAATGGATGATATGCATTACTTTTTGCTTCTCTCGTCATAAATAGTTATCAAGAACTTAAAGAGAAGTAAGGAATAAATATTTTCAAGTTAAATGAATTTACTTTTAAAAAAAAGCTATATTGGTTGTTTTATGATTTCTACCAACCTTTGATTTTCTATATCGATAGTAAAGTGTTGATATTCTTACTGAGTTAGTGTGGCTCACCTCTTTATTATTAACAATTTTATATTAGGACGACCAAGATCCGAATCTTTAGCAATAAGAGAGTTAGCAAATTAAAGGTCGACCATATAGGTTCCCAGTTTACACGTTTCTTTCTTTTATGTTTCATTTTCTTCAATGGACATTCCCGTAACCTTATTGACATTTCAATTAAACTGTGCAATGAATATAACCCAGAATTAGTAAACTTCTTCCGTAAACTTATAAAATTCAATATTATTATTTAGTACAAATGTTCGGGCCTTTACATTTCTATGCTCAAATATGACAATACATTCAAGCACCATATCTACACTCAAGCTATCATGGGTACACTTGCAATAACACATTTAGGGTTTCATCACGCGATGTTGTTTATGTCATCATCGAGAATAGGCAAAGAAGATCCTCCCATCGCATAGATAACACACAAATAATCACATATTGACCACAACAAGTACGTTTGCTATGTGACCCTTATACTCACATATACCCATCCGTGCGCAAGTTCACCATAATCACACACACACCCCTTCCTTGATTCAGACTAAATAAGTAAGGTATCTCAGGCTCCATACACTCTTCAATCATATCCACTTTCTTTACTTGATTTCTTTCATTCAATTAAACTTGTTAATTCTTATTTTAATTATTTATTAAGATATTTTATTTATTTTACTTCTTAAGTAATCACATATATTTTTCTCTCACTCATCTCACTCACTTATTTCCTCAAATATTATCACTTTTATTTTATAGTTTTATTTCGTTCTAGTCACAGTTCTCGAATTTTTAGTCCATTTTCATGCCAAGTCATATCATAGTCATGCAATCCCATAATTTTCACGAAAATAGGAATATAGGCAAACAACCATAACAGATCAAATGTCCTCCACTCCATCTTGGCAGTTCACACTGCTTGTAAAATGTATGTGTTTTTGTTCTTCTTAGTAATCTGTATTTGTTGTAGTTCAAGCAAAAAATTAATAAAATCAAGCATAGAGAGTAAAACTCCAAAAACAAGCATAGAATGGACGAGATACTCACAAACTCCTTCACACAAATCGTTCTTAAGCTCGTTTAATGGCCTAGAATCACTACACACAAGCACAAAAAAATTTAATCTAATAAAAATGAATTAAAATCTTTAAAAAAATATTAGCAGCCTCGGGTTTCTAAAAACTCACCATCAAAAATGATTTCTCAATTTTCCTAGAAGAACCCCTCGCACATTGCAACGAGCAGTGCGATTCTACTTTAGAAATTGCTGGCATTGGTGGGATTCTTGACTTCTAGGACTGGCACACACATACGCGTTAGTACAACATCCCTTTGGGAAACCCATGACAAAGAAGGGAAAGAGCAAATCACCTAGTTTCGGTTTAGTACCATGAAAATGCAAACGACTTTGGGTTTGAAAATTCTATTTCTTCCTCTGGTCTGGAGCCTCTAGGTCCTTTCCCTACTTCTTCGGCCGCTCTCTCTCACTTCTCTCTCTAATTTTTCTGAGCGCCTTTATCTCTCCTTATTTTTATTTTCGATTTTCATTCTTTTTCTTTGTCGATCCGCAGCCTCTGAAATACCGCCCTCTCTTAGTCCCGCTCCTACTCCCTCTTTCTCTCTTTCTCTTTCTCTCACTGCACTTTCTTCTCTCTCTCAATTTCGACTCTCCTATTTCAAATAAAATGAAACCAAGTTAACTCGCCCTCATTGTCCGATCTTATAATCCAATCTAAGCCATTCAATCATCCATGTCTACG